TATTTGAAAGGTGGCAATAAAAGCTTTAATTTGATACCGGTTTGAAGCTATTGACTTCAAACCGGTATCAAATTAAAGCTTTTATTGCCACCTTTCAAATAAGAAATGAAATAGATTTTAGTTTTATATAAAATTTCAGAGTTTTTCAACAAATATCGAAAAATCATAAAAATTTTACGTTTATAATTCTTGTTCGGACCACCCTATAGTTTATTTAAAAAACTAATCATAGGGTATTTATCAGAAATAAAAGAACAATTAAAATAAATTTTTTTTTGTGAATTTTTCGAACAATTATTATTTTTTTTTTACTTTTGTTGAAAATTTGACCCAACAATTTTTTTCGGTGTAAATTTTTTTTTCACTCATTCTGTTTGGGATTTCATTCTGACCAATCTGTAGAAGTTTCTCATCGATACAATTAAAATTACAGTTTAGGCAATATGATTTCCAAAAAATTCCGGTTTCGCAACACTGTGGCGCAGAAATATTAACACACAAATATTAAAATTGTTATTTAGTTTTTTCGCATGCTCACAATCAACAATTGCACCAAGATGACGTCACGCACACAGCTGATTCTATCAAAATCACAAAGAGCGGATTAGCGGTACCGCGATTGGCGCAATCTCTATTTCTCTCAATCGTGGGCGCCACCTCTGTATTCTCTCCACCGTGACGTACATACATGGTTGAAAGAGATAAGGTTGCGTATACAACCCTGCGATAAAAAAAGCCGATTTCGGTGATGACGTATTGGGTGTTTGGCAGCCATGATTGTTTTGTTAAACTCCATACATTTTGTAAACAAATATGCGAACAAAGGAATAAAAAGTGAAATGCTGTGCAATTCAAGTGTAAAAAATATAAAATACATAACGAATTGATAATTAAATACTTACTTGTATGCTTTAAAGACAATATTAAAAGAATAAGTGCTAAAGTATGGCTTTATTGGTACATTCATTGTTATAGTGTGCATAGTTATGTTGCTGTAAAACTGCTTTTGGGAAAAATCAAGATAGAAGCGACTATATATAAGGATTTTGTAAAAAAAAGTATATAAATATTAACAAATGTCCTACGTATTATATTATTTGCGTAGAAGTGTTTCCCGTGAGGAAACTTAAGCAAAATCTAATTGTATTTTACGTTGTTCAGTGCCAGGGAAACCTTGTTATAAAAATGTTGGAAATGTTAAATTAAAAGTGCTTATCATTTAAAAAATGTTAAAAGGACATACAGAAAAGTTCTATGTATTAAATTATTTGTGTAGAAGTTGTTCCGGTGAGGAAATTAATAAGCAAAATCTAATTGTATTTTACGTTGTTCAGTGCCAGGGAAGTCATGTTATAAAAATGTTGCAAATGTTAAATTAAAAGTGCTTATCATTTAAAAAATGTTAAAAGGACATAAAGAAAAGTTCTATGTATTAAATTATTTGTGTAGAAGTTGTTCCGGTGAGGAAATTAATAAGCAAAATGCAATTGTATTTTACGTTGTTCAGTGCCAGGGAAGTCTTGTTATAAAAATGTTGCAAATGTTAAATTTTAACGGTGTTCAGATGAGGCGATTTTCCAGGCAATTTTAGAGGCGATTAGTTGACTCAAAAGTTGGCTCCCCCAACTTCATTGAAAGCGATTAGTTGAAAGGCAGTTCACACCAGGCGATTGTTGCTTTGAACTAAAATTTTCCTGTAAAATCGTCTCATGTAAAACACCGTTTAAAGTGGTTATCATTTCAAAAATGTTATAGACATAAAGAAATGTTCTATATATTATATCATTTGTGTACAGGTTCCTATTACCAAAAACGCACATATATATGTATATGTATGAATGTCACTCAGTGAGAATACTTACATGTGTACCTACATAAATTTTAACCATTCAATAAAGACATTTTATTTCAGTTAAATTTGTTATTTTATTTAGTGAAAAAATGTACATACGTCGTGGGTGCCCTCCGCTTTTGTTCCAGTCAGTGAGATTCTAAAAAAAGAAACAGAAGCATTAATAAAAATTCTCAAAAAACAACTATCTACTCTTACATAAGTATGATATCCTTCAGGAATATATATATGTTTATATGTGTGTATTCCACTGCTGTTGTAGTGTTTTTGTTTGTTATAGTTTTTTTTTATTTATATTGATTTAGTCTTCATATTTTTGTTATGTTTTAAGTTATGTTACTATTTTGACGAATTTTCTCTTTCTTTTATATGCGTTATCAGCTATGTTTTTGTTTAGTTTCCGTATTCGGAAATAAATCATAGCGCGGAAAAATTGCTTTTTAATTTTTATATGACAGTTTATGTTTTCTGAACTGTCGATATGTTTTTGAATAAAATTGTCCGTTATCAATAAACTGTCTTTATTGATCTCATCGAACACGTACTGCAGTGCTACTAAGTGACGCATCAATTCTTGGGTGGGCTTTGAAAGTCCACCTTCTGACAAGTGGTTTACCCACGAATAGTTTTGGTCGTTACCTTCTATCCTCATGTTTGGCACCTCTGAATGGAGTCGTTTACAAATGTATCCAGCGACGTTCTCTAGGCCGTCATACTCGAGGTCCTCCAATTCGGGATCAAACTCTATCTCGCTGTGCTCGTCGTTGTCCTGTAGGGCAATGCCTTTAAATATGGACCCTGTGAAAGTATTAAATTATATGTCAATAGAATTATCCACATAAAATCGGATAATAACATTTTAAATTACCGGTTAGAGATTTATATGACTTCTCAAGATCTGGTGTGTCGTCTGTTGCTGTGTTTGCGTTGTCGGATATCACGCCTTCATTGTAGCCAAGTATATACGCCCTCAACCGATATTTAAATTGTTGACGATCAGGATGGTCGTCAATACCTCCTTTGCTACGGATTACCCCAAAAAAATTCTCCAACACATCCTGATTTAACCTATACGTCAATATATAATCGACTCCGAAACGGTGCTTTAGGTCTTCGGACAACAATTTCAACGCTTTGTTGGATTGGATTATTCCTATTTAATTAAAAATTGGTAATGTAGATATTTCTTACTTACAAATTTTATATATTATACATTTTGGGAACGGCAGCAAACTATATTTATTTATCACCCGCGTGTTTTCCATCAAAGACGTCATATTTTCGATGATTGGGTTTTGAATGTCCAAAGCCAATCCGTAGACATGAGTCCGCTTGCGGGTATCTGGATAAGGAACTCTTACGTTCATTATATCGAACCAGTCATTTGTCTGAAAATCATAAATTGTTACATTAACATAAAACATTATATTAACATCAAATAACAGATGTAAACCTATTACCGTTTTGAATAGCATATGACATTCTTGCCAGTTATGCCCTCCCAGATTTCCAAAACCAGCAGCTCGCGTAATTGCTTGGGCAACCGTATGTGAAAAAAGTTTCGTCGCCATTTTAACTTTTTGCCTTTGGGCACCAGCAACGCTCAGGTGACTACTGTTGATTTTGTGTGTTATGGTCAAATTGGAAGAAGTACAGGCCAAGAGATCCAATATCACTTCCTTTCCCACTGATTTACCATTTATAATAAACCCGTGATCGAGGAAGTGATTGCGAAGTAACTTAATTAGATGCGGTGCATCTGCAAAAACAAAAATTTTTGTGCCATCACAATAAAACCTGTAAGCGTAAATTTATATTACATGTTAGTACAAAAATTTCATAATATAATAGATATTACTTGTTACTAACCATGGGTTTTCATAGTTGACGCCTAGTTCACTAAACAATCCCCTATTAGCTCCGCCTAGGTCACTGACAACAGCGACTACGCGATAGCCCTGAATTTTCACCGTGTTAATTATATTGAATAAAATTTCCTGAGTCATTCTGCAGTCGTAATTATAAAAAACTGGTTGTTTCCACTTCGCAATCAAACCTGCAAACACAAATGAAAAATGTTGAAATAAGCTTGTAGGTATAACCAAAATGCATTAACTTACCTCGTAACTTAGCTACTTGTACGTAATCCACAGGAGCGAGCGTCGTATCAGATGATCGGTCATAGCAGTAGGACTTGCGTAGCTTCATCTCATCGAAGCTTAATACGCAATTTTTTTGTTTCTCGTCCATTAGTGTAGTTCCAGATAACAACTTAATCACCGGTTCAATTATCCCAGGATTAATTTGCACTTTTTGTGCCCACTTTTGCAGAGTTCGTATAGCAGGAAGCGGAAACCCATTCTTTTTTAGCAATCTGTAGGCTTTCGCACTAGCCGAATGAGTGTGATCGAACTTGATATGTCTTGCTCAGACCAGTTCCGCCTTTTTAACCCGCCCTTTAATTTTTTTATTTGGCCGTCAGTGAAAATGGACCGTAACTTCTCCTCAATATTTCGGTGTTCGAATTCGGCTTTATTAACGCGCATCTCGAGGTGAGCCAGTTCTTTGTCACGCTTTAATTGTTGCTCACGTAAAGTAAAATTGTCTCGCCTTAATGTATCACTGTAGACAAAAAAGAAAAATATTATTCTTCTATATTATTGAAATTGTTTAAACTTATTACATGAGGGTCTCCAATTGCTTTATTTTTTCAATTAAAATTTGCTGTGAGGCACACGTAAACGTTGCAGACTCCACGGTATCGGGCGCATCTTCCACTTTCTCACTTTCTACCGCATCTACCGTATCGGTAACCTCAATTTCTTCTGCAGCAACGGTCCGGTCCAATAGTAGCTCCGCAACTACTTTTTTGTTTGATCGTTGTATAAACCGATCATTTCGTGCTACAGTTGAAAGAGGTTTGGCTTCCACGGTAGTCGTGGGTATGGCGCAGGGTTTTAGTACCCTATATTTTGCAAATCCTGCGCATATTAACGTAGTGTAATAATTATTATTAAATATCGAACACATTCCTTACCCATTTCGAAT